TTGTCATTGTGATGTGTTCCTAGGCTTCTTTTACACAAATATTTTCCATTATGTATGAACATCAAGCTGCTTAAAGCCTAGAAAGGGAAATTGTTTAGATAGAAGAACTGTGGATGCATTTCATTGTGTCAAAAAGATACTTCACATTTCTTAATGTGATGCGTGTTTGTGATTCATTTTTTACACAAAACTTTCCATGAGAAAATCTACTATATTAATGTTTATGTAGCACATACAGCAATAAAAGATCCTTGAAAAACAGAAATAACATGTTTAACCCTCACACTACAGGTAGGTCAAAGTGCACATGTCACAACCTTTTAGAGAATTACATTCAAAATTTAGTTAAATTACTTTATTATTATTGTATATGAATAAACTTGGCATCGAAATGTAGTTAATGAGTCAAATTTTAATATATAAGTTTTAAATTCTTAATATCGTAAGGAAATGTTTAATAAAAATCCAAAATCTCCAATTATGTGAGAATTATGACATTTGTTCTCTGCGTTTTGCCCATTTTCTAATTTAGTTACCAGCCCTCTGTAAAGTAGAAATTAATGTAAGTTACTCATTATAATATAAATGTTACTCAGGCAAAGCATAATTTTTATAGCCTTCAATCTTATTTGTTTATGGAGCCATAAACTAAAAAAATCAGACCCACTTACCATGCCCACCTGTCACATTCTCTATTTCACGGATTGCTAGTTGTTCTCTCTGACATTTTATACTGAATTATTTATAACGAATAGAAAGCATTTTCAAGTTTTGTTGACATGTATTCAGAGCTAACTTAAATCTTCTAAGCTGGTCAAACTGCATGAGAGATTGGAATTACAGTAAAAAACATTGCTAAAAGTAATAGTATCAAACTGATGATACAGTGCATTTTGCTCATTGCAGATTTGAGTGTCCTTGTACTTTGTCATTTAATTATACAGAATTGACCACAATAATGTATAAAAATTACTATAAGTTACGATCTATATAGTTAACTTATTTTTCATCAGATTTGAGTGTCCTTGTACTTTGTCATTTAATTATACAGAATTGACCACAATAATGTATAAAAATTACTATAAGTTACGATCTATATAGTTAACTTATTTTTCATCAGAAATGAAAATTAAGAATTGAATGAAATGAATACTTGCTTTCTCATCTATTTTATAAGCTTTGCTGATCTCAGGATCAAATGGTAAATGATTTGTTTTATAGGTAATTACCTTATCAATTTTTATTTATAATAGGTCTATTAAATCTTTTTCTTATAATGTTTAAAATGAATTTGACTGAACATAATATTGAATATTATATTGTGTATGTGTTTCATTACTATGAATTAAGGCTCAAACGTGACAACCTCAAACAAACAGGAAATCACTAAAATGAACATTGTGATTAGGATTTTTACAAAGAATAACACCAAATCCTCACTTACCAAAAACATTCTCCATTACAAACCCATTAGAGTGTACCGGACACAGAATCTAAATACATACACAATAATAAACTAGCTTCAGTGCCATAACATCCAGCTAATTCAAATTCTCAGCCAATCACACTATTATGAGAGTTGTGTAATATATAATTAAAGATAAGACTGAACAGTAAAAAAAGAAAACGAATTATATTAATAACACTTCAGAAAGATAATTGGTATCTTAATGAAAATTTATTTAAGCAAGCCATTTTAAGCAGCATCATTTTTTTAAAGCTCGACCTAGTCAGTTACAGGATATATAACCTGATAGAATTAAAGATACTTTTAGATTAAGTATTTGAGGTAGTACAAATTGTAGTTATCTCACAATTGGTTTCCCCCTTTTTTTTTTAATTGCCAGAATAGAAAGGTTGTAGGTGAGTGTATAAAATATATATATCAAAACTAGGTGTAAAATATTATTTTTTTCAATTGCAAACACCCATAGGTCTAAATAAATATATGATATAGAAATAAATTCAGTAAAAAAGTTCAAAATGAAGCAGGCATTTTCTTCAGATGACAAAGCAGAGCAAGGAGTCAATTCAAAAGGAAACAGTTTTTGCTGTACTGAAGGAAAAGAAGAAGTGAAGCCAGGGAAGGTGATACTAAATCAAAGCATAGAGAACTTGGAAAAGGAACTTTCTCTTTATCGCAAGCATTTCTTTGAAATGTAAGAAAAATGTGTATTAGAAGAATAGAAATAACTTGTTAAAATATATCCTTAACTGATGTAATCCATTTATGAAAGTAATTTATATTATCAAAGCTTTTTATTTGTAGCATAACGGTTTATAGAATGGCTCTTGTTTTTTTTGTTTTTTTTTCAAGTACAAATTTTTAGCTCATAGTGCCATCTCTTTACCAATTTCAGATCTATTTAGAGTAGTGATTATTGAGGATTCCCTCTTGTTTTTTAAAAGAAACATTTAAAGCCATTAAATTATTATAAGAAATTTATACATGCACTTTTGCTTGTTCTACTTTTTTGTGTTGTTTTCCATTTTGCATAGCCATTTAAGAAGAATACTGTTAATACTTTAAAAGCATTATGCATCATGAAAGAGGGTGGGGATAACTGTAATATTGTGTTTTCATAACTTTAGTCCTAAGGTTTTTAGAAAAATACTATTGATACTTTAAAAGAATTATACATGATGAAAAAAATGAGGAAAGCTGTAATACTATGTTTTCATAAGTTTAGTCCTATGGTTTCAGAATTAGGGCAACTGTAACAAGTTATTTAATTTATGGTTTAATTTATGAAAGTAATTTACATTATCAAATCTTTTTTTAAATAACTTTCAAAGCTTTTAAATTATTGGAAATTTCATGTACAGGAACTTTTTACATGCATTTTTACTTGCATAAGCTTTTATTTTATTTGTGTTCTTGCATAGTCACTTAAGTTAAAATTTAAGAAGAATATTATTAATATGTTAAAAACATTATACATCATTTAGAGTGGTGATAATCATAATATTGTATATTCATAAGTTTATTTCTAAGATTTCAGGATAGTACTGCTTTGACCAGTTAATAACAAATTAATGTTTAGCCTTTTCTTGAATAATTGTAACAAGTTTAGTCTGGAACTTTTAAATTGTATAAAAACATATTAAATACTTATCTTTAAAAGACAAATCACTTGGACATTATTTGGCAACAGTCCAAGACAAAACTATTTTTAGAGCATGGCTGTAATTCTTTTTAATATTCAATAAGGCTAGAAGTTTCAAATAAATACAAGTTGTTTGGGATGAGGTTTGAAGATAAGATTGAGAAGAGGAAGAGGGTGATTTAGGTGTAATAGTAAACTAGTAATTGTTAAAATTAGAAAAACAAAAATAATAGTTTGTCTGTTTTTATTCTTGAAACGTAATTTGGTCATTAAGTAGCACTATTCACACCATGAAAGAACTTTATTATTTTAAAGATAATTAATAGGAATATTTATTCTAGGACTTGGTGCAAAAAACGATTCTGCTTCATAACATAATAATACAAAACGTACTTAATAAAATGTGAAATGGATTCAAAAAAGACATCATGTAATGGATGGAAAAGTAATTTAAAAATTAAATACAATGTTATTTACATTGCATATACAAGATGGATCAGACTTAAAACTTCAATTCTTAAAAAACCAAGCAGCAACATTTGACTTTATCTCGCTTTGGTGAGAAATCTAAGATCATGCTTTAATCACTCAAACTGTGTAGCTGAGCCAAAAAATGATACTTTTTCAATTACTATATAAATCCTAAGAATATTTTAAACCTGTAGCTCTGCATTTATTTTAATGGATATTGATTATTTAGAAAAGAAGGTCCAAATAGTAGACAACTATATAAAGTACTTTGATTAAAAATTTAATAGATCTAACAATAAATGTGGAATGCAATATTGGTTTTTAGAAAAACAATAGGTATGACCTTTATTTATATGTGAATGAATATTTGGAAATTTTAGATCAAATTAAAAAAAAGTGTAATAATTGACCCTAATATGACAAATAGATGTTTATAAATTTAATCTCATTAAAATATATTTGATGGAATATTTAAATATTAGAATAAAAATTCCATGTGATTCTAATAGCATCCAGATCAAACATTTTCACTAAACCAGTAATGAAATAATTAAACTTTACCATTATTCTTTGTCTTGCACTTTTGCATCAATGAGAATAGACATTTTAAGGGAATTTTGAATTTCTTTCTTTCTTTTTTTTTATCAAAATGATTACTAGTTATTACAGCTATAACCCACACTTTATTGTATTTCCTTAGTTAGAAATTGCTTGTAAACCTTAGGCTTGTCTTCTTTTCACTGAAAGAATACACTTAACCTCAGTGTATTGAGTTTTTGCTCAAATGAAATTTAGAATTTTTACATAAAATTAAAAAAATAAGTACATTAATTGACCCTAATATTACAAATGATGTTTATAAATTATTTCATTAAAATATTATTGATGGAATATTTACATATTTTGTACATCACCCAAATTGAAAATGGAATAATAAGTATTTTTTGTGGTGTTTCTTGTAGGCATCAGCTCGAGCCTGTTATTAACCTTGTTTATAATAACCTGGGGCTTAACAGTGGAGTAATTACATTTAGTGAGGCTACGAGGGATGAGAGGGAACATTTGAATCTTCCTACTCCTGTTTGGAATGGAAGATGTTCCATAAAACCACATGGAATTATAAGTCATTATCAAAACTTACCCAGAAATTTTGGTCTACATCCTAGTGTAAGATCTAGTTTTACAGGACATCGGAACATACAGTCAATGGTGAGCCAAACTGAACTCATTTTACCCTTTACAACAGAAGTATTCATTACTCTTTAAATATACAATATTTCAAGTTAATAAAAGCACATTTCATAAATACTTTTTAAATAAATGGTTAAAATGCAACGATTTATAAAGTTGCACAACGCTGGGAGCATGCGCTCTAGTTCTAGAAAGATCGAGGAACCTGTTGAATGTCCTAGCGTTTGCTAGACATGCACTTTTATAGTATATAAGCCGGCAAATAAAGTGACGGGATAGATAATTGCAGACAGACAGAGACGGACAATTGAGTCAAGCGCGGTAGTAAAGTGCATGAATCGTTGTGAATTATAGCGTGTGTTTAAATTAAAGTGACTGTGGAAATTAAGTGTATTGCAAAGTTGTATTGAGAGGGAATAAACTAGTTTCATTTAAGAAAGGACTTGTGTCTCTGAAATTTCATCGGAAATAAATTATACGGAAAATTAACAAACGAACAGAGACGTAACAATATTTAAATAATTAAGTGTTTAATAAAACCATAAATGACTTAAACTTAAAAACACTCAACATGATATATAGTTTGATGCACTTCTATGTTGTCTTCAGGAGTTACTTACGAGACAACTTATACTTTCTACATGTCACGCGGTATTATGTTTCAAAGTAATTTACATGAATCACCAGTCAACATTTACAATATGACATGCCTTATTAGTTATGTGTGTTGATGGCTCTTCATCTCGATTGAATATTTGTTTTTCTTTTTTAAATTTTATTATATCCAATGTTTCTCAGATATTTAAAGATGTAACATTTTTGATTGAGCCGAGATATAAAGGTCAATTTGGGGGTTGCAAACTTGGCCGATTCTACTGAGCCCATAGTGAGTGTGTTAAATTTTGGTGAAGGCTCATTTTTATCTGATATATGACTTGACATATTGTAAACGTTGACTAGTGGCTTATGGAAATGTAATACTTCATGACATGCAGAAAGCATAAATTGTCTTGTAAATAACTCCTGAGGACAAAGTATAAGTGCATCAAACCATGTAACATGTAGTGTTTTTTAAGTGAAAACCATTGATGGCTTTATTAAATTTTTAATTATGTAAATATGAATCATTGTATTTTAATTATTTAATTAATTTTATGCTGTTATGCCATAGTTTTCATAGCCACTTTAAGAGGAAGTATACCTTCCATGTACTTTATAGACTATCACATATATATAAGGCTCTCTTAACAACTCTGCTGATGGCAAGTAATGTAGTGTATGTTAAACAACGAATTTCATTTTTATACGAAAAAATATGCATGTGTGGATATAGGAATTAAAACTGAATTTAAAGTACATAAGATCAGTATCGATTAGAAATTCATAGATAATTGAAAAAATTTATAAATGACTTAAAAAAATTGAAATCCCAAATAGAAAATGTCAGAATCAAAGTTAATCCTACTCAATATTGGAGAAGCACTACCATAGACCTTTATCTCTTTACTTTAGATTTAAGTTAAATTTTATCCTTTGATTTGGACTTCAGTTCATAGGTAGAGGTCTCCCTAGAAAAAAAAATTGCTTGTGTAGCTTATTTCTTCTTAGATTCACATGTATGCCATGTGTGGCAGCCTTTGAAGGAGGAAAAGGGGATCCTGGCAGTTGAGTACCACCTAGGCTGATAAACTCTCTGGGTTGACACAATACACTGCTTTGGCCTTGAATCCCTGTAGATGGGTGGACCCCATATGGTCGGTTTGCTGGTCAGTAGTAGTGGATGATATAAATTTCAAACCATCAAGTGGGAAGAATCATGAAAAGGCCCCTAACTGAGGAGGACTGCTTCTCTTTCTTCACTACTTTTATCTAACAAGACAAATTGAAAAATTGATTTGCTATCTAATCATCCATTCCCTCTGACAAATCTGTATGTGAGTCATCAACTTCCTTTACCTAAAGAGGCTTAGAGGAATTTGTTGGCTCTACTAGGTCTGTTAAAAAAGGTTTGACAAGTTGAAATCTAAACATTAAGACAGTGGGTTACTTCTGGCCTTCAAGGCTTTTGGGATAATTTCTACTTTAAGGTTACCTGCCATAACGTTTTAAACTCATGTCTTGGATTATTGTTATTCCTTTTTCAAATCTTGGGAAGGATCTCAAATGCCCATCTAGGTAAAAGCTTATTTCTTTGACTAACTGTCTTTGTAAGGCATTGGAGAAGATGGTTTGTGTTCATTATGTTTGGTTTCCTTGAATGAAATAATATCCTCTCTAACACTCAGAGGCTTTCACAGTCAGAACTCTATCTTAGAGTAGGGAAGCATTTGTTAAATGTAAGTATCGTAGGAAAGACTTATGATATCACTTAGAAGTATGGTATCTTAAGAGAACCTCATTCTTATGATATACATGGTCATTTATCCATTCGTATCAGGACTTGCTAGAGGGTAGATCTTTCAACATAAATTTTAGTTTGACACCTTTACAATCCTTCATAGAAGACTTGGATGTTCCTCAAAGCTGTATTTTGAATGCCACAATTTTTCTTATCAAAATTAATAATATGACAGAACAACTTCCTTCTTTTGTTGCAAACTGCTTCTGTTAATTTTGATTATTTTTAGATTTTCTATCGGTTCAAATATAATGTTCATTGAGAGGTAGTTTCAGGCTGCCCTTAATAGAATATGTGATTAAATGGGTCTTGATTTCTACATATTAAATCATTTGCATTCATTTTTGTTGTTGATGGAGTTTGTATCTAGATGTGAAGTTCTACCTGTGTAATTCCTGTATATATATATATA